CACATTTGCCTGAGCTTTGGGTTCACCACCCACCATGGCTCAAACATATTCAAGAAGAAAAAAACCAATAAAAATAATACAACAAATAAAAAAATGCAAATAAAAAATCAATATGCTAGAACAACTATTCACATAATATTAGGTATTATAAGTACCTAGAGATGACTTAAAAGTATACTGGAGGGTATGCATAGTAACATGCAAATATTACACCATTTTATGTAAGGAACTTGAACATCTTCAGATTATAGTATCTTTGGGGGAAATGGGGTATCATGGAACAAATTCCCTGTGCATATTAAGGGATGACACTCTGTTTAACACATTAGATACCCTCTTCTTTCCCCAAGGATCGGAGTTGATGGGAAGTTAGCAAAGGAAAATTTCCCAGAGGAACTACATATCATTTTTCATTTCAACTGGCCAAGTTTTAGCCTTTACATTAATTCATGTGTACTGCTTCCTTCGGAAAGTTTGAAGACCAGGTCTGCTGGCCAGATAAATCATGCCAAGTGCTTTTCAGAATGTATGGGGAGATGTGTCATATCTTGATTCTGCCATCCCTACCCTCCATGGGCTGACAGTTGGTTCCTTCTAGTCTCAGGTGGAAGAAGGGCCAAGTGGGTAACGATCTACAGGCAGTGCTAGAGGACGTACGACTTGTGTAGTGACTCAGTAAGGGGAAGAAGGAAATCCATGGTGGTGTCAACAACCTCCCTGAAAAATCAGAGGAAAGTTTCAGACTCTCCCAACATGTGGAGTGGCACTCAACGTTTTTAAGAAGGGGTAATAAAATCATCTGTTCTATGTCTTTCTCTAGCTTCTCTCTTGGGTCTTCAGACATACAGGGCTGTCTTTTAGCTGTGTTTTCCTTTTGTTCTAAGCAACTTTTTTTCCCCCTGTGGAAGCAAACCCAACAATCTGCAGCCTGAGCTTGAGAAGGTAAAGGCTAAGTGTGTTTTTGGCATGATTAGGCCTACAGATAAAGACTGGTGAGTGACGTGTGGGCATTGATACAAACGACCCCTCACACAAAGATGGAGATGAAACACTGTTCTGGGACTGCCAGGTGAGGTTTTGAAAGATGGAATGTCAGAAACATCAAAAATGTGCATACAAGAACATCTTTCTTCCAACATCAGACTTGCAACAAGTTTGAATCTCCTTGGCTCTATAAACGGTTTTCATTTTTTTTTTCTGGGAGCTGAAGATGATCCTTTAATGCTAGATTTTTCCATCTTCACTCTGAAGGCAATCTGTTCTACATCTTTGCTCCATGAGTGCTGAAATGACTTTGACATGCATTTGATCTATTGCACACAGGCCAGGAAAGAAAGAATAGAGGTTGGAATGACAGTATAAGTAGGAAGTAAATAAATTTTTGATCTTTTAAGAGATGTAGAAAAATGGAAGGACTGACTGAATAAACTGAATGAGAAGTGAGTAAGCAACTGTGTTCATTTCCCCCCCATTCTGTCTCTATGCGTAGTGTCGCTAAGCCTGGGCTCTGGGGCCAGTGGCTTAGTGTGAGTGCCACATCCAGCTGTCACGTGTGACTTTGGGTCAGTGACATTAATCTCTCTGTGCCTCCATTTCTGCATCAGTAAGATGAAGATAAAAATAATATTTACCTCATTAGGTTGTTGTGAGCTAATATATTAAAAAGGCTTAAAGGGTGCCTGGTATAGGTGCAATGTATTTCTTAGCAGCTGCTATTTCTTTCTTTCTAGTAATTTCCTGGATCTGTGGAGATGTGAGGAGGAGAAAGAATAATTTGGAGAAAAGTCATGTTCATCCTCCACTGGGTTATTTATTTGTGATTTATAGCAATATTGTACACCCAACTACACTTATGTCTACTTCCTCATGATTTTTGAACAGCATTCAAGTTGAGTATAATAATGTTGATGAAAATTTGAATCTTTTCACTCATTTAGTCATACATTTATGTTTGTTTATTTATTAAGTATTTACTTGAGTAAGACACTAGGCAATTAGAAAAACCTGTATAGAGCAGAGGCTTTTTCTCCTAAGGAACTGACAGCCATTTAGTTAATGGTATAAACCAATCATATCTAACCAGAGTGTTCATGTTTGTAAAATTCTGAGAAATCTAATAAATAGAACTAATCAGAAATATATGGTTTAGGAAAAATATTTTTTGAGAAAACTTAAGTTTCTATACTAAGAAACTGATAGCCATATTAATATATGCCATCAGTCTTCTGACTGTAGGTATTGTCATATCCCTCTTATTTCTTCCTCCCATCTTTACCAATACTTCCTTTGAAATTGCTTGGCTTTCTTTTCGTCTGTTATGACAGATAATCTCTACTTTAAGCTAACATGTTTACCTCGATTCATTCAATAAAAATCTACAGAATGGTCACTATGAACTAAACATTCTGAGTCTATTTTATGCAAAAAGCAGTTTAGGGATTACAAATTACATGGATATACATCATAATTTTCTATTTTCGGATATATTTTAACCTACAGTATCTATTTCGTTTTGTATGTAATTTACTCACATTAAATTAAAATGCTTTTTCATTTGTCATCTTGGCTTTACTAAGATGTATGAAGTATGTAGCCACTCTTCAAAATAAGGAATCTGACAGATGACATATCTCCTCTTGAAAATCAAATAGTCATTCTTTTCCAAGAATAATGATCCTTTAAAAAATTTTGTTTCTCCAAAGCAAGTTCATGCCTTAAATATTTTTCAACTGCTGGAAAAATTTCATCAGACCTTCCAATATATTTCACTAAGATCATGAATGGTCATATGTATGGTGGTAATCAAAGATGTCCAATAAATGGAAAAATTTTGAGGCCACCTGGTACACCAAAAAGAGAACTTTCTATTTGACGTGAGTCAGATGTTTAGTCCTCTGGGCCACAATTTTCTCATGACAAAATTTAAAAGTGTATTTTGGTAAGAATCAAAAGGTTCTCTTCCATTTAAAGTACGGATTCTAGATCTATGCGCTCCAATATAATAGCCACCAGCGGTATGTGACTACTAAGCATTTCAAATGTGACTAGTTTAAATTAGTTTTACATTGTCTCAGCAGTTTTAATTTTGAAGATTTAATAGATTTAATTTTGAAGATAAGTTTATATTGTCTTAATAGTTTTAAATATTGTTTCATTTTAATATTTTAATAAATTACTGTTTTATTAAATTATTTAATATATTTAATATTTTATTAAATAATAATCTTATTACGTTGTGAAATTATATTTTATTAAATTATTTATTAAAATTATTATTTTAATAAATAATTTTAATAAATTATTAAGACAATATTTTATCTCAATAAAAATTAAGTTCTTTCCTGTTTAGTTCTTGAGCCACTTTATTTAAAAACATTCTGAAATGTGCTGTAAATGTAAAGAAAATACACACCAGACTTTGAAGACTGAGTTTAAAAAATGTGAAATATTTTGGATATACAGGGTTAAACAAAAATATATTATTAAAATGAACTTCATTTAAAAAAATGTTTTAGTGTGGCCATAGAAAAATTTAAATTACGTGCACGACTTGCATTATATTAATATTGGACTGCATTAGTCTAAACCTTCAAAACAAAGGGATCAAAATCTATCTTTAATGGCTTTTAAATGCCGAATGGTCAACATTTCAATATTGAGATCTTTGTACCTGTAAAAGTCAAGTTTCTCAAGTTAAACGTCTTATTTATCAAAAACTAATAAACATTGCATGGGCAGATACTTTTCACCAAGCTCCTTTTCAAGTTACCTTTGTCAAGGTTCTGAAAAAATGGTATGCTTACAATATTCAATATTCAAATCCCAAATAGGAACATCTCAACTATATAATAAAAGATGATCAGGAAATAGACCAAAAGATTAAGAGTGATTGTTTCCAAGTAGTGAGTGGAGCCCTCAGTGATTTTTTTCATTCTTTTCTTTATCTTTCAGTTTTTCAACAATGAATAGTTTCTTCATCAGAAGAATACATATCTTTACATTTTAGCAAGCTTTCATGAATTTTACAGAAATCACAAATATGTAAAAGAAAGACCAGCTTAAAAGAAAATATCCCCACATACTTCAATCTGGTTTTCTACATTTCCAAATTTCTACAGTGAATAGGTTACTTTTATCAAGAGAAAAAAATACACTTTATTTAAAAATTGCCATATCCACTCACTCTTTTAACCTCAAACCTGAGCTAATTTGCATCTGACTTTCTTAGAACGCCTGAAGCTTTTATCTCTTATATTAGACTGAATACTAGGTACTTTAGATTTTTACTTCAATCTTGATGCTAATATACATCCTTTAATATTTTTATTAAAACTACCATCAAACAGAACAGGATTTAGTGACTGTCTATGGAGAAGGGGGAAAATAAAATACCAGAAGGTATTTTAGTACGCAGGGCCACTGTGCACAGGGATTTAGTGTCTATTGCAAATATGGCCATCTAAAGGGATGCCATTTACATCCACATCCTACCGAAACAAGGAAAACAGCCTCCTGCACATGGTCTAGACTAGTTCTTACAGTCACACGCACACTCAGGGAGCTCCAGTGCATGTGTGCACACACATACAAGCATGTGCACATGAGTGGGTGTGGCTGTGCTCTATCCCAGTCCTGCTGGGCACCACTTGTAGTTGCTCCCCTTACCTGCCCTCCAGTATGAGAAGTTCCAGATCCAGGACCCTAATGTGCCTCAGGTACCACGGGAAGGGGGCATGGAGAATGAGCAGTGCTGTGATGTGTGAGCCCTCGTGTCAGTGTGTGGGCAGGCAGGAGCATGGGCACACAGAGCCAGGTGGGCTGTCTGCCCTGCTGGCTGTAGGAAGGGCAGTTCTTCCAAGGGCTGGCAGTTATAACTGATGAACCTAGCAATGATGTACTCATTCAGTATTTTTTTCTTCTTGAGGAAAGGTAGTTTTTTCCCAATTCCCACAAGGCAACAGCCCTTCTGGCTATGTCACTTTAAGCATGGCAGAACTTACTGTTAGTAGTAAAGATGACTTCTCCCTCCTGGGCAGTGGGGTCTGTATCCTGGACCACCTGCAAGGCTCCCACAGTCCGGACAGCAGGGTCCAAAGTGACTGAACTTTCATTCACTGTTGTGTCACTTGCTCCTGTGATCTGGTTGGTCGGTGGACCTCCCAGAGAGCCCTCGAAGTCAGTGGGCAAGTCGTCCATGCAGTCGGCATTGGGCTGATGGGGACAGAAAAGGATCTGTTCTCAGTATGTCATCCACTTAGAGATTAAATGTCTACAGCCTAAACATTTAGTCTCCATAAAAAAATTAAGTGCTTTACGGTTTACTTCTTGAGCTGCTTTATTTAATAACACTCTACATATAGTTTCCATAATGTTAACACAAAAAGATCTTCCAAAATTTCCTTTCCAAAGGTTCATTTTATATTAAAAGTGTTTCTTTTTAATTTTTTAGAATTAAAAATTAAATTCAAGACAAGCAGTATTTGTACATTTAAATAATCACTTGGGGGAATATGTGAAATTTATTTACAATGAATGCATTTCCGTACATATAGTATTATTTACTGCACACCTAGAATGTACCTGGTAGCCTGATCACTATGCCTCAAAACTAATGCATTGTTTACAAATATACTGATGATATGAGAGTAGGAGTGAGAATAGAATCTAAGTCGTTACAGCTTGCTCATTAAAGATACATACATACCCTCAAACATATACAACAGCACAGAGTAAGGCTACTTTTAAGAAAAACATGAGCCAAAAACTAGCTATAGAAAAATATCCCTATGTCCTTAATATGGAATTAACCATACACTAGTCAAATCCTCTAAATTAAAATCTTAGAATCATGAGACTAGGGTGAGACCCCCTTGTTCAATTGACCATGGGTTACAGGACTCTTTCGTTTCCAATGTCATTGACAGCTTCCTTTAAAGAACATAGCAATGGGAGCTCTCTGCTTTGCAAGGCAGTCTGTGTTGGCCAGCATTGTTGGACTGTATTATTATTGGGCAAAATCTTACTCTTTGTATGTTTTACTCTTTTGTCTTAGGTCTGCTGGTTTGAAGTAATAATTAATATATTTATATCTCTTACACAAACAGCTTTTCAAATTACTTTGAGTTCTGTCTCCACACAAACTCAAAATTATGTTTAAAGGGTAGTGGTGGAGAGGTATTGTCTTAAGGACTATTAAGAATAGCTGGCTGGGAGTGGTGGCTCATGCCTGTAATCCTAGCACTTTGGGAGGCTAAGGCAGGTAGATCACGAGGTCAAGAGATCGAGACCCTGGCCAACATGGTGAAACCCTGTCTCTACTAAAAATACAAAAATTAGCTGGGCTTGCTGGCATGTGCCTATGGTCCCAGATATTTGGGAGGCTGAGGCAGGAGAATTGCTTGAACCTCAGAGGCAAGTGAGCCGAGATCATAATACTGCACTCCAGCCTGGTGACAGAGTGAGACTCTGTCTCAAACAAACAAACAAAAGAACAGCCGTTAATTTCTTTTGCTCTGGTCTGAACTTCAACTTCATCTTGAAGAATGATAATGACATGGTTTGTTTTACACTCCCAAAGTAAGCAGAACATCAGGATCAGGATTAACGAAAGAGAACTCTGGATTGACAATTATTGAATTAGCATCACAATGACTGTTGTTTTCCAAGGTCTTCAGAACAGAAAACCTACAACTCATGGACTTACAGGGCACACAAAACAAGAAATCCAAAGTGCTGGACTCTTGTCCTAATGTTTTGTTCTTAGCTATGTAACACCAGTCTCCTGAGCTCCACACCTGTGTCCTAACAGTCAGCATAGAGATCTCTATCAATCCATAAACCCATCAAATTCAGCTCATTCATTTCTTTCCTGTATTCTTTCTTCTTTTTGCCTTCTCTAGCTGTATTGGAAGTAAGCCAATTCACTGAAACTCTATTTGTCAAAAATTCAAAGAATGATCAATTCACGGAATTCACTAAATTTACTGATTGACATTGGACACAAGCAGGTGGGTTTATGAACATTCCCTCCCCATTATAGTTTTCCTATCTACTTACAATCTCTTCTTCAGTTTATTTCAGTCTTCACTCCCTCATCAGAGCATTCTTTAAAGAAAACACCATGGGTATGTTTCTTCTCTTCTCCTAAGGAAGGAATTACACGCTCCCTGGCATGACAATGGCAGATGCTCTAGAGTCTGGCCCCAGCCTACATTTCTGGCCTCACCTTCAGCCTTTGGAGACATGAAGCACATGATCCATTCCCTCCTCTCAACACTGTAGCTTATACTCTTCCTGTGCTCAGGATGACATTTGATCCAGTAACCCTCCTTTTCCTATCCCAAGTCTCAAGTTGACCCCTGGGGAATTCCTAATCACCCTTTAATTCCCAGGTCCAATGTCCCCTTTTCTAAGACATGTTCCCTCCCAGGTAGGCATCGTTGATCCTGGAAGTACTTTATCAGGCACTTCTCCCATACTGTGTGGCTATTAGTTAATGTGCTGGTCTCACTCTGCTAGGCCCCAAACATTGTAAAGTGAAGCAACCGCACTATATTGACCTTGGATTCCAAGCTCCTACATAGTGCCATTGACAATGACTAGTTGCTCAGTGAATGTTGACTTGGAAATTTGATCTGAGTCTCAGGTTTCTGCCCTGGAAACTTAGGCATGTTGTTAGTATCTGCCCTAAATTAATTAAACAAGGATTTGAGAAAATATTTGAAAAACTGTAAAGTTCTATTCAAAGGCAAGATATGCTGTGTACAGGTGTTATGCTTATCTATTATAAGCATAACCAACTGTGTGTAGGTTTCAGGAGGAAAAGATTTCACAAAAAGAGTACTATGCAGGCTGTTCTTTTGGCCATAAACACTTAAATGCAATCATATGTAATAATAATGGACATATTTTTCAAAATGTTGATCTAGCTGTTGATATTGTTCTTTGTGTATTTTCTTAATCTTGATGCAGTTTTTTCCTTGCTTTTCGTTTTGCGGGATAGTGGGAATAGTGCTATATCTTTAACAGAGTAGGGTAGAGGATAAAAGAGCTAATTAGCCCAGTGAAACTGTCAATGGTAGCAAGCACAAATAATTTGACTTGGATACAATATTTAATAGACCAATCTTACTGAACCTCACAGCTTATATCCACTCTACATGCTTCATCAAATGGAATAATATTTTGAAAAGAAACCAAATTTACATACCTCTAAGAGAAGTCACAATCATAAACTTTAAAACAAGATGTCAAATGCTACCTGCAAGTGAAAACTGCACCCGTATTTAAATTCAGGTTAGCATGAAAAAATCCTAAAATAAAGCAACTGCTAAATAGAAACTTGTGAATACACCAGCTATACAGAATTTTATATTCAATAAAAATCATCAACTTATTCCAATCAGGATAATAGTGTTAGGAGGTGGTGGCTGGCATATAAAAGACCCAGGTTATATGGTACCTTAGAGGAGGAGTCGCTGAAACTGTATTCTGTCATTCTATCAAGACAGACCTAGATGACTGGATGAATAGAAGGCGAAGCAGTGTAATGTAGTTAAAAAACACTTCTGATAATAAAGGACTCCCCATTCTTTCTATTCAGTATTATATTTCTCTTGGCAAACTATATGGTACTTATTGTTCATTTTCCATTATATGGAATTTCATAATCAGTGAACTGTGCTCTCATTTTTTAGTTCATTGTAGGGAAATCACTTACAAAATAATAACATCCCTAGTTTTGACTTTTAACTGACTTGTCTTATGCCATGGGTACATACAGGACACTCCATTTAAACAACAAAAACAAAAACCAAAAACAAAAATACTATGCCACCTGTATTTGAATAATCTAGTAGATTAGGATTACAACCAAGTCGTTTGTGAGTTGACACTGTTCAGAGGAGAATCAGGATGAAATTCATAAATACGACTGTATGACTAGCAGCATTCAAGGTGCTGAAGGGCTGTAATTCCATAGACATTTATTGAGCATTCAGCATATGTAAGGAATGCAGATATGAAGCATCAATAGACATCAGTTATCAGAGAGTGACAAGCTCTTTTTCAATTTTCTTGGAATAAGAAGTAACGAAATATACAGAACATAGGACAATTATAAGACAATTTGTTTAAGCTTTATACAAAGGATTTCAGTTTGATATAGGAAGTGTTTTCTAATTGAGAAGGCCATGAGCTTGCCCAGTGAGATGGAATGTTTTAAGAATAGAGTCGAAGTCATCTTATTGATATAATTCAGACATAGTGCCACCCAATGGTAGAAGGATGAAGGGGAACAATAACCAAAGTTCCACCCAGATCCTGACTTTGTAATTCCCTAAGACAAAAACAGAAAAGGCTTGAGAGGCACAGAGGGTATCCATATGCCTTCGTGCTTTGGGAGAAATAGCACAAAAGCCTTATTTGTCATGGAGGGTGTTCTGCTTTGTGGGGCAAGCTTGGATGTGTATCATGTTCTTGTTTAGCTGGCCTTTAAAAATCTTTACCAAATCCAAAAGATGCTACTGATGTTTATTTTTCTGATAGTTCACTGTGCTAAGTAAAATCCTATCCAGACTTTGCAGGCATCAAACCATGGCCAGAATGCCCAAATGCTAAAGGTTAAAATATTATTAATCTTGGAAATAAGAGAAAAGGTCACCCCATAATTCTTTCTAAAAATAATTCACAGCAATACTTGCATCTTATTTACAAGTAGTTTTTGCAGAAGTTACACCTCCACTGAAAAAGCCTGGAATCAAATACTCTTTTGTACAAAATTGAATGACGGATGCTTGTTAGTTTTCATCGTCCTGACCAGAGAACAGTGGGATTGGCACTTAAGATCTCTAAAAATACCCTGAACAATAGGAACATGTCAAAGGATCCAACTGTCTCTCCTTCATTGTGAGAACTGTGAGGATTCTAAAGACCTTGGAGACTGTAGACACACATACACACATTTCCCCCTCCCCTGAGAGACTCAGTTACAGACAAAAATGTGAATAGTACAAAAGCTGAGCTCAGCTTCCTAAGTCACCAGTATCTGGTAGAGCTGCTGGGTTTTTACTGATGTTTCATGTTCCCTTTAACTGATTTTTCATTTTAAATGCAATACGCATGTATAACTGGTCTGAAAATTTAATGCATTGTCTTTAAAATCTAGCTCAAAGGTATAGTCACACAAGTTGATTTGTGTTCGGAGTATCAACCATGCAGATCATACAGCAGGCATGGAGGCAGCCGGCACACAGTAGAAAATTCAGCCAATGCATATCCTCATAATGCTTCAGGCATGCCCCCCCCCCCCCCGCCCCCAGCAGAGCCACCCTGATATTCCTAAGATAATTAGTCCTTTGGCATTAAAGTAAACCTTTGATATGGGATCTGATCCTTCCTCCTTCAGTGAGATCTTAGGACTATTAACATTCTCTTTATTCTCTGCCATTAGCAGTGAGGAGTGACAATAGGGAGGTGGCAGCAAAGTGGAGGGCCTGAGGGGGAGCTGGCATCTGCATTTCATTTGTCTGACTTCTAGACAGCGCCGTGTGGTTTCGCTTTCTCACATCTCTTAGTGTAGTCCTTGGATTTGGTGGCCTGCCTTGCTTCCTGCCCTCATTGCTGAGAGGGAAGAACACATAGCAGCTAGGTGTCTCACCACCCACCAGCTTGTAGGCTTTACCTGATGCGGTCCTGGGAAAGTCTCCCTGGAGCATCAAGCCAGCTGGCTGATTCTCTTTGTACAGGGAAGAGACAAAATTTTAGAAAACATTTAGTCTCTGGGGGAGTCAACTGGGGGAACCTGTTAAATTAAGAACTAAGTGTTAGCTTTCCTGGCTCTGGTTTCCTTTTGGCTCAAAGTCTCCACAGAGATCTGAGTTTAGCTGAGGCTTTGAGCCTGACTCTCAGCCTCTGTCCTCCCCTCTGGAAGGTGCTCTCTCTCTCTGAGATCCAGGTGATCATGGGCAACACCAGAAAGCGTGGCGCATGGATCTCCCGATGGCTGAACATGGGTGATGGTGCAAGAGGTGCTCAGTGTACAACTGGCCCGGGGTGTGTCTGCTGCTGTCCCACCTGTCCTCTCATACTGCAGCCCAGAAGAGAAGCCGATGAGCTGCACAAGTGACACCTGGACTCACAGGCAAATACAATGCACACGGTGAAAGGCTGGGATGTCTTCAGGGAAAAGGTGAGAGGAGAAATGCTTTCAGACATAGGAATTCCCTTGGAGCCTCATAAGATAACGTGACTGCTATGTGTGACTAAGGGGACACAGAACATCCAAGTATAATGTTTTCTCCCTGCTTTGGGGCAACGCAGAAAGACAGACATAATGATGCTGTAGGCTGTGCTGTGCTTACCGGGATCCCTAGGGCTTTAAGAATGTTCATCTTGCACATGGGACAGGTGCGATGGTCTAGAAGCCAGGGGTCAACACAGGACTTGTGGAAAAGATGCCTGCAATGAGAACCATACATCTTAGAGTGGCGGTAACTGCAAAGACTACCTAGTCCACCATGGCCCAGTCAGTGGCAGAGTCAAGGCTCAAACCTCCATTACCTAACTTGTGGGTCAAAATGTTTCCTGTTATACCCTGTAGTGATACAGTCAAAATCTGTCTGGATCCCAAGAGTGTCCTATATAGTTTTCAATGGAGTCTTCCAAGTTTCAGAAAATGCAGAGAATGCAGAAACTGAGTTTTTCAATACAAAGAAGCTCTAATGACAAGAATACAAGTGGGAAAACACGTACACACCTTGTAGGATGACTTGATTGATGCTACTTTAAGAAAAATTCAGAATTTCTTTTCCCACAGTCAGAAGAAAACTGCAAAGTAAAGACTGATTTCCATTAACATTTGGGATCTGACGCAAAAGGAAGCATTCAATAACACCAATGCCATTTTAAGTTGTTAGGACTTCTGGTTGTCAAATCAAAAGGCAGAGTGAAAGGCTCTGGGGTCTCAGGTGGGTAGCCATCATATCTGTGCAGTCGATTCACTCAACAACACGGTGATTCCCATGGGCCAGTCATTACTAGCTTTTGCCTTCGTGGCAGAAGGGGGCATTTCGTGGGTACAGAGAGCTTCCTAACTGAACTTTCTCTGAACTTGGCTCAAAAAAGTCCACTCAGAGATGTCAGGAACTCCTTGAGTCAGAAGCTTTTCTTCTAACTCCCAAGACTTCAGACCATAGGCAGAAGTAGTCAGAATTTCCTGCCTGAGGCAAGAAGAGAAAGAACTATCTGTTTTAAATATGAGGACTTCCTTAGGACATTCCATGCATGCCTGACTCTCTTTCTGTACCCCCTGCTTGTTCCCCCTATGCAATGGGGCACTGTTCTTGAATATTTCCACTCTGTTTTCTCACTTGCACTGCCTTTTGTTCTAATAGTTCAGAAAATCTCATTTGTTTTGTGTTAGTGGGTGTTGGGCTCAAATGCTTAAAAAGTACCTCCAAATCAGAGAAGAGTTTGGGGAAGTGCTACCTTTTAAACCGAAATTAGAAGAACTCAAATGCCAAAGATGAGATTGGCTGCATACAGGATATGATCAGATTGGGGATTAGAAAAAAGGACTGTAGCAACAAGGATGTGTTATTATGTTTCCAGATTATTGTTTAAGACGGCCTGCAGATTTACTATCATATGGTTTGGATCTCATGTCGAATTGTAATCTCCAGTGTTGGCGGTGGGGCCTCGTGGGAGGTGACTGGATCGGGGGCAGATTTCCCTCTTGGTGCTGTTCTTGTGATAGTGATTTCTCATGATATCTGGTTGTTTAAAAGTGTGTGGTGCCTCCCCATTCCGCTTCCTTCTGTCCAGCCTTGTGAAGTACTGGCTCCCCCTTTGCCTTCTGCCATGATTGAAAATTTCCTGAGGCCTCCCCAGAAGCCCAGCAGACGCCAGCACCATGCTTCCTATAGCCTATGGAACTGTGAGCCAATTAAACCTCTTTTTTTTTTCCCTTTGAGATGGAGTCTCGCTCTGCCACCCAGGCTAGAGTGCAGTGGTGCGATATTGGCTCACTTCAACCTCCACCTCCTGGGTTCAAGTGATTCTTGTGCCTCAGCCTCCCAAGTAGCTGGGATTTACAGGTGCCCACCACCACACCCGGCTAATTTTTGTATTTTTAGTAGAGATGGGGTTTTGCCATATTGGCCAGGCTGGTCCTGAACTCCTGCCCTCAAGTGATCTGCCCATCTCAGCCTCTCAAAGTGCTGGGAGTACAGGCATGAGCCACTGTGCCCGGCCTAACTTTCTTTTCTTTATAAATTACCCAGTCTCAGGTATTTCTTTATAGCAGTGTGAGAACAGACTAATACATACTACTTGGAAGGTATATATTTCATTCACTCACCTATTCACTTCTTTATCTGTGCATTCATGCAACAAGTAGTATATACCAAGACCTGTGTTCAACACAGAGAATTGGCACAATTTTGATTTGGCTCTTTCCCTCAAAAAGCATAGCAAGAGAGGCCGATATTAATAAAATAATTTAGAAATAAACTACTTAGTGACAACCATGTTAAGTACTACATTAGAAGAAAAGGGAATTTGGCAAGGAGGGGCGTATAACTGGGAGATTTATCCTAGTTGGGGTGGTCAGGGAAGGGCTCCCTAACCAAGTGACAAAGCTGAGACCTAAGGGCTACGTGGGTCATGGTTTACATGGAGGGGAAGACGGAGATGGAAGAGGGGTGAATGGCTCAAGCAAAAGCCAAGTGAGGGAGGGGCAGCAAGGAGAAGGGGGTGTCTGGCACCCAAGTTGGATAAAGCCATTCCTTTCCTTGCACTTCCAAAAAGCAATTTTGACCTCTCCATGTTCAGGTTCTATGCTCTGTATCTTTGTTTTTATTCCTACATATTTCCTGCTGGTTCTAATTATCTGGAGAATCCTGACCAATATATCCTCCAATCAATTAGAGTGGAGGATTTGCTCTCTATGAAAGCAAAATCCTTGCTTGCTTGATTCACGGTTGCATCCCCAGCATCCCCAGTTCCTGGCACTCAGTTGATGCTCAAGTTCCTAATCTGAACTTGCTCACCAACTGGTGTTGCTCCTGGGAAGAAGTCAAATACTCTGGTTCTTTGACCATTCCCTGGAGGCAGGGCTCCACTGTTTTCTGCACATGTGCTGAGTCAGAATGACAGCAGGGTCATTCATTAGCTGTTTTAGCACTCAAATAAGATGACTAATATCCCCAAGTCTCAGTGGCCTGTCTGTAAGATGGAGAGGTATCTACTACAGCAGAAAAGCCTTCGCTGGAGTCTCTGATCCATAGACACTGTTCATTGTTCTCAAACACCCTCAGTTGTTTCTCTCTATGCACTGGTCATTCTTACACCTCCTCTGGATGCTTAGTTTTTATGTGGCAACTTGGCGAGGTTGTAGTACCCAGTTATTCAATTGATACAAATCCAGATGTTGCTATGAAAGTATTCTGTAAATGTGGTCAATATCTACAATCAGTCGATCTTAAATAAAGGGGATTATCCTCAACAGGATAATTAAGGTCAACTGGGTGGGCCTCACGAAATCATTTGAATGATCTTAAGAGCAAAACTGAGGTTTCGGCTGGGTGTGGTGGCTCACGCCTGTAATCCCAGCACTTTGGGAGGCTGTGGCAGGCGGAAGGCAAATCACTTGAGTTCAGGAGTTTGAGACAAGCCTGGCCAACATCGTGAAATCCTGTCTCTACTAAAAATACAAAAACTAGCTGAGTGTGGTGGTGTGTGCCTGTAATTCCAGCTACTTGGGAGGCTGAGGTGGGAGAATCACTTGAACCTGGGAGGTGGAAGTTGCAGTGAGCCATGATCATGCCACTGCATTCCTGCCTGGCTGACAGAGCAAGGCTTTGCCTCAAAACAAACAAACAAAACCCTGAGTTTTCTCTGAGAAGAAATTCTTCTCTAGACTGTAGCATCAGCTCCTGCCAAGCATTTCTAGCCTATAGGCCTGTCCTGCAGACTTCAGGCTTGCCAGACCATGCAATCACATAGGCCAATTCCTTGAAACCTCTATCTGTATCTATATCTCTATTTCTGTGTACCTCCTGCTAGTACTGCTTCTCTGGAGAATCCTGAGCAACATATCCTCCAATTAGGATATAAGCTCTATGAGAATAAAATTCTTCTTTCCTGGATTCACTGTTGCATCTCCGACACCTAGAATAGTTCCTGGCACATGGTAGATGCTCAAGAAACATTTGCTGCATGAACAGATATTTATTTACCCAGGGACCGAGCACGCCTCCCTGCCTCCACATGGTCAAGTCTCATTCATGTACTCTTCCTGAATCTGTCACATTCGCGACTTCTCTTCTGTCAGGGCGGCTCCCTCCTGCGCTAGCTCATCCTTTTTCTCTGTATCACTGCAATGGCATCAAAACTGCTCTCCACGCTGCCAGTCTTTTCTTGTTCTCTTCATCCCACTCATTGTTGCCAGATTTATCTTCCTAAAATATAGCACTGGTTACGTCACCCCCTTGTTCCATTCTGTTCTGTGCTGGGAGCTGGGTACAAAGATGCATAAGACAAGGCCCTGCCCTTCAAGGCAGTCCCACAGTCATCTAGCGATTCACTGCTAACTACAATGGGAAGGCCATGGAAAGGTTGCACTCCTGGGTCTGCTGTTTTCTGGCTTTTTTTGTCCTAGGCAAATTACCTTAGCTCTCTAAGATTCAGTTCCCTATCAGTGAGATTTTATCTTACAGGTATGGGCTTCGTGAGTGAATGAGTCTCTCTCTCTCTCTCTCTCTCTCTCTCTCTCTCTCTCTCTCTGTGTGTGTGTGTGTGTGTGTGTGTGAGAGAGAGAGAGAGAGAGAGAGAGAGAGAGATAATAAATAACGCCCACAAAACTTAAAACATAAGTCCTGGTACTCCTTAATTGTAAACTACCATAAATTTTATTAATAGCACTGCATTACATCTTATTTTTAAGATATTCTGTCATTACTATGATTTATACTCTTTTGTGTAACTTTCCTAACATGGAAAGCAAATAACTACAAATTTTTAAAAAATCAGAGGGAGAACTAAGGGCAAAAAAGAAAAACTGCTGAAATGACATATGGGGCAGCCAGGCTCATTATTAATTAATATTCATTTCTTTTTAGTTCTATATTGACCACCAAATTGTATCCTTATAATTGTGATTGCAAAACAATATTTTCCTCTAAGTGGAAAGAAAAATAAAAGTCATCAGACTAAATAAACAAAAGGATAGGGAAAGAATCTGGAGTTTAGGGAAATGCACCAGTTAGTAAACATCTCCAAGGTAAAGTCCATCTCATTTTATTTGCACGATTTGCAGGGCAGCAGTGAGCCTTCCCATGGTTTAACAAGTGCTGCGTGAGAAAGAACATGTGGAAGACAAGATAATCCATCTTGTAACAATCCCAACAAATTGGATATACAACAAAGAGTTGGCCAAAGCTGTTTTCTTTCCTTATTCA